ATTTGTTTATTTATTTTATTTGGATTTTATTTTTTTTCTTTAAAATGTATTAATTTTATTTTTGTGAGGTGACATTATGTGCCCTCAAAGCACCTTTTAAATAAAATATATAATAATAATTATTATTATTATAAATACTCACTGCTTCAAACAAGGACGTTGCCATGGTTACTGCTTCACATGGTGGCAGACTTCTGGGTATTTATACTAATTTACATTAATATGTATTTATGGAGGCAACAGGCCGACCAGCAGCTGCTTTATTTCCTATAAATTAGGATTTATAAAGGAAAGGTCAGCAGGTTTTATGCATCCGATTTTTTTGTGCGCCGAACTTTTCTAAATTTTTCTGTCCTCCAAGTTTTAGTGTCTTTTATGCACGAGGCCCCTGATCTTCTTTAGTGTTTTTATCTCAGAGTTTCTCAGTAATTGATCTGAATAATATTTTGTGTTTCAGAGATCAGAACCTCAGACTGAGAGCAGAACCTGCAGGATCCGTCTGTCCCTCTATGAGGAGTGACCGGTCTAAAGAAAACTATATTGGTGAACAGTGCTATCTTAAAACATTTCTTGAAATGAGACAAATTTCTTCTTGTTCTAAGTCTTTATTGAAGTTCAAAACAAAAGAAGGTACACATTGTACATCAGCTGAAAATCTGAAGAATTTAAACAAAGAATTTTGGTTTGTTTTGGAGCAAGATGGGGTGATGGTGATGTCATCGGCCAAAATTATAACTTTTAATATTTCAAAGACGAAAGCTCCACAAACGACAGTTTTAATGGCACAAACCTGCACAAATGGAGCACTAACGAACTAGCCCACTTTGGTTTGTTTTGGAGCAATATGGGGGATGGTGAACTCTGGATGACCTAAATTTTAATATCTCAGAAACCAAAACTGCACAAACGAAAATTTTAACGACACAAACCTGCACAAACAGAGCACTAACCATTCAGACTATTTGCTGGATTTTTTGACGTGGGTGGGGTGTCAGCTTCACACAGATTAATCATCGTCATGTTTTTAATGCAGTTGTTTCTTCTGTTTCAGCAGATGTTGGTCTGCAGGAGGTTCTAAAGGAACATAAGATCAGTCTGAGGAGGAGATGTGAATGTGTGACTGAAGGAAGTGATGTAACAGGAAGTGATGTAACAGGAAGTGATGTAACAGGAAGCAGAACCCTCCTCAACAGGATCTACACTGATCTCTACATCACAGAGGGTTGGAGTGAAGAGGTTAATACCCAACATGAGGTGAAGCAGCTGGAGAGAGCTTCCCAGATCCAGAACCTCCATGACTCTCCAATCAGGTGCCAGGACATCTTTAAATCCTTCCCTGACC